AGCCCCCCCCGGCTGCGGCGCCAGCCGCAGCAGGAGCAGCAGGAGCAGCAAAGGCAGCGGAAGCACGAACAGAAACCGAAGGAGCAGCAGGAGCAGCAGCAGAAGCAGAGAAAGCGAAAACACAAGCAGCAACAGCAGCAACAACAGCAGCTGCAGCAAGAGCAGCAGCAGCATCAGCAGCAGGTAAGCCTGGGGGACATGCAGCAGCATCAACAGCAGCAAAAGCAGCGCAGGAAAAAGCGGCGAAAGCAGCAAACGCAGCAACAGCAGCAACAGCATCAAAGGAATAAGGCGCAGCGCGATTCGGCTCAGCAGCAGCAAAGGCCGCAGCAGCAGCAGCGGCAGCAGCAGCGAAAGAAGCTCCAGCAGCAGCAGAAAACGGCGCAGCCGAAGCAACAGAGGACGAAGCAGCGAAAGCAGCAGCAGCAGCAGCAGCAGGAACAGCGGCAGCATGCCGCAGAGCAGCAGCAGCTGAAAGCAGAGCAGCAACCAGAGCAAACAGGTCAGCGGCTGCAGCAGCAGCAGCAGCTGCAACGAACAGAAGAGCAGCAGCAGCAGCAGCAGCAGCAGCAGCAAGAACATCCTGAAAAGGAGGTTGGGAGAAAAAGAAAGAAGAAACAGCAGCACCAGCAGCAGCAGCAAAAACAACGGAAGAGGCGTAAGGGAGACAATGAGGAGCAGCAGCAGCAGCAGCAGCAACGGAGGAAGCGTAAGGCAGACATTGAGCAGCAGCAGCAGCAACGGAAAAAGCGAAAGGGAGACGAGCAGCAGCAGCAGCAGCAGCGACGCAAGAAAAGTAAGGGAGACAAGGAGCAGCAGCAGCAGCAGCAACGCAAGAAAAGTAAGGAAGACAAGGAGCAGCAGCAGCAGCAGCAGCAGCAACGCAAGGAAAGTAAGGGAGACAAGGAGCAGCAGCAGCAGCAGCGGCGGCAACGGAAGAAAAGTAAGGGGGACAAGGAGCACGACCAGCAGCAGCAGCAGCAGCAGCAGCAGCATCAACGCAAGAAGAGTAAGGGGGACAAGAAGCAGCAGCAGCAGCAACGGCAAAAGAGGCAAAAGGGAATCAAGAAGCAGCAGCGAGGGCGAAAACGAAAGCAGCGGCCTGTCGAGGAAGAGCAGCAGCAGCAGCAGCAGCAGCAGCAGCAGCAGCAGGAAACAGGGGAAGAAGCAGCAGCACAAAGGAAGAAGGAGCGCAATCCAAAGCGATACCAGCAACAGCAGCAGCAGCAGCAGCAGAAGCAGCAGAAGCAGCAGCTCCTGGCTCTCTCGGAGCTGCAGCAGCAGCTGCGGTGTCTCAGGGGCCTCCGCTTCTTGCAGCCAGCAGCTCTTGCTGCTGCAGCACCTGCCTTGCTGCTGCAGCCGCTGCTGCTGCCTACCGAGGAGCAGCAGCAGCAGCTGCTGCAGCGAATGTGGGGCCAGAGCAAGCAGCTAGAATATTACAGTGCTGCCGCAGATAACAGCAGCAGCAGCAACGCTCTCTGCAGCCGCTGCTGCTGCAGCAACGCGTGGATTGCTGCTGTTCCTGCTGCTGCGATTCCCAGAGGGTTTGCATTTGCTGCAATCACTGTAATGCTTGAAGACCAG